GCTGAATTCTTGACGCACAATCGAACGTGCTGCTATATGCTGCCGGCACACCCACAAGCGAGCCACTCTGGGAGGCCGGAGAGGTACGCGGCAATTTACCACGTAGTAATGTACACGAGCCGTTACTCAAGAAAGCAAAAAAGAGACCATGTTTGTATGCGGGTTTATTAACTCAATGATATTTTGTTTTACATTGTTTGCAAACTGATATGTGACACGTATTAATGCCAAAATAACATGCAAAACAGGTGGGGCTCAAAACAGACTCTGCCCAACCTGCCCTGAATGACGGGTCGCCACTGGTCTGCTCAATCGGCAATAACCTTTACATTTTGATCATGCAAAAGACTCCAAGGAACACGTACATGTCTTCTTTTCCCCCCTACGACGCTCACAAGCTGCGCAGGACACATTAGAAAATATCTATTTTTTTCTACACACACAATTATTACCTGATGATCTTCCCTGATAATACACCTTTCCCATATTCAAGTCATTTGACATATTTTGATTGCAGTTTGTATCTCAGACTGGCCTATTTCTGGGGCCTCCAACTCACTAAGTCCGCCCTTGTATAGCAGCTATACAAATGTGTTATGAAATGTAAATATTACAGTACAATGCATTTCTACTGTAAATTCCCTGCAATGACAAAATATGTTGTCACACTTCAACTAGACCATAGCCTTGTTCTCGAGTAAGACACATGATTTGCTTGTTTTTTGTTTTGAATCACCTCATTCCCACAACACTGGGGCTAAATCTTGTTTTTCTCAATTCTTTTAAGAAGGATTTGTTGTTCGCCTTCTTCTATGAAATAATTAAAAATAGATATCTTCTTTTAATTTGTGGCTTTATTAAATGTAATCCCCTTGACTTTACTGATATCTGTCATCTTGGCCCTGATTACTTTTTTTTTGCAGAATCATTTTAATCTGGTGGAGGAGATCTGGTAAAGTGCATATCATCTTTGGCCATTCTTTCAATCTTCTTCTGGGCTGTAATATAAACTCTGAAGATGAGTGATGCTTTAATCCAACACATTAATCTCAGACTCTTTTTTTAGGACATCACTGTGACAGGAGGGGGGCGACGAGGGGTTAAAAGGGCAGGTTTTTTTAATATGTATTGTGCATTCAGGTTCAGGGAATCCGTTAACCTCATCAGTTTGAATATGTTTTTCTTAAAAAAGTTAATCACAACGTAACTCTTTACACTAATTTGTAAGAGCAGATTAGTTACATTTCCTAGAAATAATGTTACTATTGAAGTGTCACTTCAATTTCCAGGACATCACAAGATAACAACAATAACAACAAAGACTAATTAAAAAGCAGTATGTTTGTACAGATATTTTTATTTTTATTTTGTTGGCCCCAGTTCTGTAGCCTGGGTGCCAGTCTGTTTCTGCTCTCTTGCCAACTGCTTGGGAAATTGGTTTGACAATGACAATGGAGAAGGCAAAAGCACAAACAGATCTCGGACCAGGCTACCAGTTCTGTAGCCTCCCATAAGGCAGAAGCATGATGACTCCACCAGTAACTTTACACAGAGAACAAAAACACTTTTTGAGAGGATACCTGGGACATACAGTAACTGCAATGTACAGTGTGTGTATATAGAAAACAGCATCAGCGGCATTCGAAAAGACTGGCAGACATCATCTCTCACAATCCAGATATAAAAGTGTGGAAACACATCATCTCCTGGAATGGCTGAAGTATAGGGGACACAGAAGAAAGTCTCTTTTCCCTTTGTGATTAAATATTTTTGTGCTAACTGCTATTATATTGTGAGCTCCAAAAGTATTGGGACAGTAACAAATGTGTTGTTGTTTTGGCTCTGCACTCCAGCACTTTGGATTTGAAATAATACAATGACTTGTAAATAAGAATATAATATGTTTCTAAACACTTCTACATTAATGTGGATGCTACCATGATTACAGATAATCCTGAATGAATCGTGAACAATGATGAGTGAGAAAGTTACACACAAATATCATACCCCTCAAAAATGCTAACCTCCCCTGTTATTCAAATGTTGCGAGGATCGCATGTCTTGGGGGTATTATATTTGTGTGTCTAGCTTTCTCACTCATCATTATTCACGATTCATTTAGGATTATCCGTAATCATGGCAGCATCCACATTAATGTAGAAGTGTTTAGAAACATATTCTATTCTTATTTACAATAAAAGTGACTCCAAAATGACACAATAAATTATTTACCATTCATTTCTATTGGGCACAAAATTATCTGAAATACAACCAAAACCAACAGCAAATGTATCCAACAAATTTGTAGTCACAAGTTTGATATAGTCATTGCGTACTATGAATATGGGACCAAATACTTAACTTTGTACTACTTTAATACACATATAAATGAATTTGTCCCAATACTTTTGGTCCCCTAAAATGGGGGGACTATGTACAAAAAGTGCTGTAATTTCTAAATGGTAAACCCGATATGGATGAAAATACCCTAAATTTAAAGCTGACAGTCTGCACTTTAACCTCACAGTCATTGTATAATTTCAAATCCAAAGTGCTGGAGTACAGAGCCAAAACAACAAAACATTTGTCACTGTCCCAATACTTTTGGAGCTCACTGTAACTAAAATAAAATAAATATATATTTTAACGTTTTTAAAAACATAAAATGATCAATAAATACATCAACAAGATATAACAACGAAACAATGAAAATATTGCATAAAAAACTACAAAAAACTCATTATTTAAAAAGGGGGTTAAATGTTTTGCCAGTGAGGGAACATTTTTGTAGTAGTATTGAATTCAGTCGACAGAGTAAATTCTACATTGATGTTGTTAAGAGAGGAGAGAGGATGGATAGCTACAGTTGAAGTCGGAAGTTTACATACACTTAGGTTGGAGTCATTAAAACCACTCCACAAATTTCTTGTTAACCAACTATAGTTTTGGCAAGTCGGTTAGGAAATCTACTTTGTGCATGACACAAGTAATTCTTCCAACAATTGTTAACAGACAGATTATTTAACTTATAATTCACTGTATCACAATTCCAGTGGGTCAGAAGTTTACATACACTAAGTTGACTGTGCCTTTAAACAGCTTGGAAAATTCCAGAAAATGATGTCATGGCTTTAGAAGCTTCTGAAAGGCTAATTGACATAATTTGAGTCAATTGGATGTGTACCTGTGGATGTATTTCAAGGCCTACCTTCAGACTCAGTGCCTCTTTGCTTGACATCATGGGAAAATCAAAAGAAATCAGCCAAGACCTCAGAAAGAAAATTGTAGACCTCCAGAAGTCTGGTTCATCCTTGGGAGCAATTTCCAAACGCCTGAAGGTACCACGTTCATCTGTACAAACAATAGTACGCAAGTATAAACACCATGGGACCACGCAACCGTCATACCGCTCAGGAAGGAGACACGTTCTGTCTCCTAGAGATGAACATACTTTGGTGCGAAAAGTGCAAATCAATCACAGAACAACAGCAAAGGACCTTGTGAAGATTCTGGAGGAAACAGGTACAAAAGTATCTATATCCACAGTAAAATGAGTCCTATATCGACATAACCTGAAAGGCCGCTCAGCAAGGAAGAAGCCACTGCTCCAAAACTGCCATAAAAAAGCCAGACTACGGTTTGCAACTGCACATGGGGACAAAGATCATACTTTTGGGAGAAATATCCTCTGGTCTGATGAAACAAAAATAGAACTGTTTGGCCATAATGACCATCGTTATGTTTGGAGGAAAAAAGGGGTGCTTGCAAGCCGAAGAACACCATCCCAACCGTGAAGCACGGGGGTGGCAGCATCATGCTGTGGGGGTGCTTTGCTGCAGGAGGGACTGGTGCACTTCACAAAATAGATGGCATCATGAGGAAGGAAAATTATATGGATATATTGAAGCAACATCTCAAGACATCAGTCAGGAAGTTAAAGCTTGGTCGCAAATGGGTCTTCCAAATGGACAATGGCTTAAGGACAACAATGTCAAGGTATTGGAGTGGTCATCACAAAGCCCTGACCTCAATCCTATAGAACATTTGTGGGCAGAACTGAAAAAGCATGTGCGAGCAAGGAGGCCTACAAACCTGACTCAGTTACACCAGCTCTGTCAGGAGGAATGGGCCAAAATTCACCCAACTTATTGTGGGAAGCTTGTGGAAGGCTACCTGAAACGTTTGACCCAAGTTAAACAATTTAAAGGCAATGCTACCAAATACTAATTGAGTGTATGTAAACTTCTGACCCACTGGGAATGTGATGAAATAAATAAAAGCTGAAATAAATCATTCTCTCTACTATTATTCTGACATTTCACATTCTTAAAATAAAGTGGTGATCCTAACTGACCTAAGACAGGGAATTTTTACTAGGATTAAATGTCAGGAATTGTGAAAACCTGAGTTTAAATGTATTTGGCTAAGGTGTATGTAAACTTCCGACTTCAACTATACGTTTTATAATGTATTGTAACCTAGATACAGGTTGTCTGTCTGACTGTGGTTAGGTTCCCTTTAGGCAGTAGACATTCGCTCTGAGAAGAATGAGAACAATAGGAGGTCCTACTCTCCTCCTCACCATGATGTACCATTACTGTTTTCACAGTACGTTAACAAAGTGCCTTAACAGGTTTGCATTCAACATGGACACACCAAGCATTACCCCTAATCATTGTACTCAACATCGCATACACATGGTTCTCCATATTGCTTAGGAACATTCAGGAGTGAATTTAGGTGAATGAGCCAGAAATCTCCGCTAACTTTTTTCGTAAAACACCTACATTTTAGTTAAACACTTAAATATATATATGTATATATTTCATAATTATAATGACTAATATCATTATAATTTCTGTATTCAGTTATTAATTTGTATTGTCGTTCCTTTGTGGGTATTTTCATCTGACAGAGAAAAATAACACAGTTGGTAGGTACATGCATTGATTCACAGGTTAAGACGGATGCGAACAGCTCCTCCATCCCGTGATGTTGATCTAGACATCATCGTCATCTTCATCACTGTCCTTCATGGATATGCCCGTCATCCCTCCTTCCCTCACCGACGCCGTGGCCTCCTCCAGGGTCAGTCTGTTCCGCACCGTGTCATACATCTTACTGTTCAGCGTGGAGTCCAGGACGCCCTGCAGCCGGAAGTCACGGTACTTTTTCTGGAAGAACAACCCCCCAAGAGAATAAAAACACTGGTCAGGGTTGGGACTAGCACACAGAGGAAGCATTCTCCATCAGCTGCTAAGGCAAGAGAGGACATGAAGTCAGGAATGCACTGCAATGTTTGGGTACATCTCGATTGTCTAGAGTGGCCACCTTTCCTCATCTCCTTTCCTCCGTCTGAATCATTAAAGAATTAGACAGGTGACAGCAAACAGGCGTCACAATGCGTTCACCTAACCTGTGTTTTCATATCAGTAAAAATGCAGTGGACACAATGAAAAGAGGACACTTAATTGTTCACAATATTTGATACCTTTAGCAAATTACCCATGTGTAGCATTTTCCCCAAAGACACATGTACTAAATCATCAATACACAAGGCACTAAAAACGATATGTTGCATGTCAGGCCAGATCCCATGCATGCATGTACTTATCAGCCCTCACCAGTCACTACTGCACGTATAGGGAGACAGTCTCTCAGAGAACATAAATAAATGTGTGACGTGACGTTATGCTGGTAGGACTTGTTACTGCTCACACTGCACCAAAATCACACTGAAATATTAACAGGGCGAAGAACCAATGGTTGTCAGTACTAGGCTTTCTATCAACCTAAGAGAAGGTAGGTCACAACTCATTTAATAACGGTCACAGATTAAGACGAGAAATGTTGGATTTCTACACTACTTGATTGTGAAATTTGATACATTACTTTGAATGAATTACCAATTGGTTTGGGAGGCCCTGGTAGAGACCTGATGGTTGAGCCTGTCTTACCTTGGCTACTCTGATTAGGATCTTGAGCTGGTAGACATGGAGCTGCAGGTCCATTCGGTCAGTTAGCCACGTACCCAGGAGGTTCATGGTGCTGGTGTACCATTGCTGCAACACACAAACACAGCATTCTCCAGCAAAACACACTCACACACACAAACACACATGTGCACACACAGACAACCAGAATATAGAAAAAGAGCAGAACCAGCATTTCATCGGAATTTACACGCTCACTCCTTCAGGCTCTCTGTTTTTCTCCTCTCTTGTCTCTATCCCCCTCTCTCCATCTCAACAACTCCCTCTCTCAGTCTCTTTCACTCACTCATTCCCCTCTGACTGACTCCCTCTCGCTGTCTCCCTCTCTCAGCTGAGGGGAGAGTAAACTGGAAGCACCTCTTCTATAACCGGAGCAGCAGCTAGTCGGAGCAGCTAGCCGAGAGGCTCCAGATGTTTATCTGTGGGCTGAGTCCTGTTTGAAGTCTAATTGATTGGTAATGATCAGGGCAGGCTGATGCTAATCAGAGTGGACTAGTGCTCAACTGTCAGAGGCAGAGAGAAGTGAGGAGGAGGGGGACATATCTGGGGTGAGTCCGAGTTTGTGTTGCTGAAACTCACTCTGTCAATGAGAGGCCTTCTGCACTGTCCTTTTTACACATGTACAAAAAAGACTCAAGAAATATGAGAAAACATTTTCAGGCCACAAGGAAAATGTTCTATCAGGGAGCTCGATATAAAGTAGGTATCAGTAGCTACTTAATGTTTCAAGTGAATATACCCCAGTAATGACAACAGTATACACATTATCAGTTCCTGCTCCACAAGGTGACGATGTAGCTACTCTCTGGAGTTGTGCTGGGCTAAGTAAGTACAATATAAAGGCCTGAATCACTGTGGTGGCCTGCTGCGAGCGTATCACTGTGGCAGCTTCTTCTCTGCCGCTCTGTGCCTGTGAAGGTATCGCCATGGCAGCAGGGCTGTGATCTTGGCCCAAGAACGACCCCCCGTCTAGAGGCCAGGCCTGGAGTGACTGCTCTCTCTCTCCCGCTCTCTCCCTCAAGCTCATCTTTTCCCTCTATCTGTTTTCCATCTCTCCCTGCTAGCCTCCACATGCTCTCCTCTCTTTCTCTTTGCTTAAATCTCTCACTCACTTTCATAACCTCTGAATAGGGTTATTTCTTTCCACGTTTCATCACTCCCCTCACCCATTATTACTTTAACCCATTATTTCTCTCTCCTCTCACATTCTCTTTCCCAGCCTCAGTTCTGATAATAACCTTCAGTCATCTTCTAGAAAACACTGGTCATTTACTATCAAATATGACATTTCACATCAAACAGAAGCTTCTAAGAGGTTTCTCTTGAGTTGACCACATTCTCCAGAGAAGCAGCAATGAGGAGTAGTGGGATATATATGTTTGTGTGTGTACTCAAGGGAAACTTGGAGACAGACGGACTCTGATGCCAGGCTTGTGAAATGAACAGTGATGGCACTCTCGCTTTGTTCCACTCTGAACAGACTAACAAACCCTAACAAATCTCTCAGAGCAGTAGAACACACCCAGGCACTCACTCTTTTTAGGCTCGATTGGGATCAGCAGGGAGTCTAGCAATAGCTGACAGCCAAAACACGTAATATGGCTCTGAATATATAATGTCAAAACCCAACAGGGATCAAATCTGTGACATTGTGACATTCTAACGAGTTCTGACATTAGGGATTGGATAATGGAGGTTTTGGGGGGTTGTGCGTCTTTGTGTGTGTGTGTGTTCATGTGCCTACGGGTAGGGTTCCACTGCTTCATCACACACATACATACATGAATATCTGCAGGTCCCATCCCCCTTGGCGTGACGAGCTGGGAGGCAGTGAGACCTCCTGCCCCCTGCAACACCAACCTCCTCCCCACGCCCCTTCACCACCACACACACACACAACACCCGGCCTTGAACCTGGGGTTCACACTCATATCTGACATGTTACAGGAAGCCATAACACCTGGCAGGGGGGCAACCAACAGAATTCAGTGCAAATCTGCACACCCCTCCCCTCGTATCCCAATGCATACACACATACACCCGTCCCACAAATACACACACATGAACACACATTCACATTCGTGCGCATACACACATGCATATACACACACACTCCCTTCATTTCACACACCTCATGGGTCCTCACCCCTCCTTTGCGAGGCTGGGACAGAGGACTGGTAAGGGGTCGGCTTAGGCCTTTGTGCTGGGCCCCCAAAAATCACAAAAAAGCAGGAATGCTTGAGGAGAGGCAGGGCCCTCCATGGGGGGTACAGGGGGATTACAAGCAACCTGCGACTCTGCCTCTTTCTGCCCTTGCTGGTGGTAATGTGTGTGTGTGTGCCTTTGTGTGTGTGGGTGTGTGTGCATGTGATTGTGTATGTGTCAGTGCTACATACCAGATTGGCTCTGGCCTGAACGGGCTGGGACCTTGTACTAGGAGTGAGTGTACTGTATGTGTGTGTGTGTGTGTCAGTGCTCCACAGATTGGGCCTGGTTGGTGCGAGGCTGGGGTGTGTAGTAGGTGTCCTGCTGGGACCCAGCTGTGTCTGCAATTAGCGGGAGGCATGGAATGATGATTGTTGCCGCGACGATGCTAATGCAAAGTGACAGGCTTAGTTCTAAAGGAGAGGGGAGGTCGCTGTGTTTCAGAGAGACAATGCACCACTACTTTTCCTTTTTCCTCTCACTCACACATACACACACACACATACACACACACACACGCACGCGTGTGCATTCACACAAGTACGCCTCCGCTCTCCAAGCTCCTTAAAATGAAAACCAAACATTCTTAAAAAATCTATTTAAGAGTGGTAGGGCCGATCGAAGGCACAACCTTTCTCCAGCAGTCCTGGCCAGGATGTCTAGTACAGGGCTTTGTTAGTGGTTAAAAAGAGCTGTCCACACTGGTCTCCTGGCCCAGAGAGAGCTGGCAGCCAGGGCCGCTAAATTAGGCCCCCCAGCGGGCGGCTGAGGGGAGGACCCGGGGGTTGAGAAGTCTTTAAATCTGACTACAAGACATTATGCACTTACGACAAAGGGGCAGAGTAATCCTACCTGCTTGCTTTTCACCGCTGCTGCTTGCCTGTTATTGTCTGCTTTATAGCTCATGAGAGGAGGCCCATTGATGACGGAACTCAATTACCATAGTAACTCACACCGGTGACCCCCAAGTCCCCCCCCCCCCCCGTCCGTCCGGCCTGTCCCCCCGTCCCCCCACTGCCCCCCCCATTAGGGCTAAGCTGACCCCAGGGGTAGTCAGTCCTTTCACAGGAAGCTGACGGCCCTAACCATGTCCCTCCACGCTGGGAGAGCACCGCTGCTGCTGTAGCCCTCAGATCCTGCCAGCGCCCTGCGCTCCGCTCTAACCGCTCTCCTTTCTACTTCTCTAAACATAGGGGAGCGCAGTGCTCTGAATGGCAGAATTGAAATAAAGTTTCAGGCTCAGCAAGCTTATGGGCTTCAAACTGTTCTGATTGTGCCGCCTCTACAAAGGAGAGCCCAGCCAACAATTCATTCGCTTCAGCGCAACCTTAAGTGGAACAAAAATCCTCTGTGTGTGCCCAACCACTACTAGATCGCTAAGATAATCAGTCTTTCTTTAAAATAAATTTGAAATAAATCAGACTAACAATAAATGTTCTTTGCATATCTAACACAAGACTGACATAAATGTTTATATCAAAGGAAAGCAAGCGAGAGGGACTCAATCGTTTCTGAACAGTTTTCGGTTGAAATCCGAGTCTCTTACAAAAACACCAGTCACATTACACTAGTGAGTGTCAGTTGAACTGATTACAGTGACCAAATAAGAGAGTACTTTACAAAAACATGGTTAAAAAAAGAGAGAAAGAACTTGTTGTGAAGAACGAAACGGTTGGAATTATGGACTACGCAGCGTCATTGAGTAAACACACAATAAAGGACAGAAAAGCTCAGTGGAGAAAAAAACAGAGCCAAGGTCTGAGCAAAGTGAGCCATTCTCCTCACAAAAGGCCGCTTAGAGGCGGATTGAGGGGCTCAGAATGACGGGTAAAACACTTGTGGGCTTCAGACTCTATAGGGGGAGCGAAATGGAATAAGCCAGCAAGCACTTGAGGATCCCGCCGAGCACCTGAATGGGAAGGAGGGACGGGGGGGCGGAGAGGGGGTGCAGAAGGTGAATGGCCTGTCTTTTGGGACCAATTTGCCTCTTTTCACCCTTTTCCCCTGCCTCTCCGCTGACAGATGTACAAAGAGGGACCCGCACCGAGCCTCTTATCCACATGCACCCGCAAGCAGCTGTCACTTTTGTCAGACAAGTTAATCAAACAAATGCCACCATACCTCCCTTTAGATAAATAGAGAGAAAGAGAAAGAGAAGAGAGAGAGAGAGAGAGAGAGAGAGAGAGAGAGAGAGAGAGAGAGAGAGAGAGAGAGGAGAGGAGAGATGAGAGAGAGAGAGAGGAGAGAGAGAGAGAGAGAGAGAGAGAGAGAGAGAGAAAATTGTGTATGTATGTGTGATCAACCGACCTGATCACCCCCCTTCACCGAACAGTGGGACTTGTCCCACTCAACATAAAAGACAGCTCTATTTAAGTTCCATTTCCCTCGTCTTATGTTATTCATCCATTCCTGTCCTCATTTGGTTTTGACCACTGACATGGACCTCTGGCCCTCTGGGGTAGGTCAGAAGGGATTTATGCCAGAGTCTGAGATCACAGTGAGGGTAGATGGATGGATGGAGGAAACAAAATGCTCCCTCAGTAATTATAAAGAGTCTAAGCTGCTTACAGGCTTCATGAAAAGGAAGCCAAACCTTTTGACATGTTTTCAACAGTCACAGTGAATCAATATACTACCTGTTTGTTATCCTTAGTCTTTTTTTATTCTACCCTACTATCGTCCAGATTCATCATCCATTCCAGAGCCTCTTCTCACTATTGGTTTATATCAATTTAAAGAGATTAGTAACTGGCATGAAAAACAGTAAGAGGACATTGACTCAGTATTGCGTTTATATTAAGATGTATCATGGGTTTACATGGAAAAAACACATCATTGTGGTCCTCTGTGGCTTAGTTGGTAGAGCATGGCGCTTGCAACGTCAA